GTTTGTGCGTTGGATGAAGCCTTGAAACAATGTACGCAAATCATAGGAATATTTTGAAATATTGCAAACTATCTGATTATTCCCACTTTAGCGAAGATCAGTTAATTTTCCTGTTCATTTTGTATTGGACTTCCCTTGCCACACTTACGACCGTCATTAAGGATGCAGCGCGTGAACATTGACATTGACAGGCTAAATCAATTTGGCGCCACATGGACATTGACAAGTTCGGTTGGCACAAACTCGAAACACTGGATGTTGTACGAAAATTTATGGATCGTTATTGGAGGCCTAGTTTAGTGCGGCAATGTTCATCTTTTCAAGAAAGAAAATTATCATCGAGGGATCCAACAGCTCATCATGGCTGCACGTGGTGGACACAAGTCGGCCTTGTATCTCATATGCTTATGGAACATATCTGATGAAATGAGTGAAAATTCTATGGACATATTGGAGTCCTTTACTAATGTGGGAGATATTAATATCAAAGAGTGGAGGGAAAATGGCATTTATGCCATCTGCCACATCGGGTGATTGGATTATTGGGTTGTACGAAGTTTTTGTCCCCAAGGAATAGTGCTTGCGAAGTGTGACAAGTGTTGAAACTCTGAGTGTTGCATAAGTGTTGTTGTGGCTCCCAGACAACTGTGGTGGCCACAATACCCTGATGACAATGAGCATAGTCGTTACGAACTGGGAACATCGGTAAGATATGAACATTTTGTAGTACAAGGTTTGATGGTCATGTCTGATTCTTCATGTTTTTGTTATACGATGCTAGGTTGTCTGTAAGTGTTGTCAAGACGTACTTGTTATGTGAGGGTAATACTAATGACATTAAAGCACATGTGTATCAAAAAGAGAGACAAACTAACAATCTAATTTTATTAAAGAGACACTATACAAACTAACATTACATCTAATATATTAGACAAAGAGTCATGTCAAAACGTCAAACTCAATAATTTAGAAGAAATCGTATCAAATAATAAAATAAAATAAAATATATCAGAAAGTAAAACTAATAAAAGGGACGTGAGAAACTTGAGAAAAATAGTGGAGTATTGGGGTTTAAGTCAGATCAACTCCCCAAAATGTATCATACATTATTATTATTTTTATATACAAATGGTTAAAACACATGATTTTTTCCTTAATTTATATGTTAGTGGGATGCATACAAACTTACAATATATATGACCTTTGTGAGTAATAGAAATCTACCCAAATAAATTAAATGGAACAAACTTACAGTTTTCAGCTTCTTTAGAATGGTAGTTAGCTTATCCACACTCGCACTCAGCATTTTTTGCTGCTCATTAGTGTGCTGCTTGTTAAAGAAGTCACCAATTGCAGCAGAAACGCCTGCTACAGTGATTAGAGTACCCATGTGTAACGATACATCCTTTAGTTGACCCCACATGATGTTGATGCCCTCCCTTACGACATTGGATTGCTTGTTCTATACTATTACTCTAAGAAGGTCCGGTATTCCTTTCTTTCAGTCCACCATCGCCTCTGCTTTGCGCCTCCCTGATTGTAAGGATGATCAAGCCAAGGTTTTCTTTGTAAGGAAATCCCCAAGTGAAGGCATGTCGCAGTTGGTGTCACTAAATGAGAGAGCACCACGATGATCAAAATCAGAATTTTACAACTACTATGGTCTACCATGGTATGTTGTGCGCACTAACATTATTGCATCTTCTCCAATACAATCATGACAATCTTCGCGAGACTCTATGCTCATCCTCGATTTTATAGATCACATATTCCATGATCAGAAATTATTTTCAATAGGATCATCAACAACTCGTGTGGACTTGTTGTGTACGTCTAGCCGACTAGTGCTTCGTTTCCTATGTCTAATCACAAAGTTGTGTGAGACCACAATATTCCCTACAAGTACTTTATTACCTTCATTATTAGTAGCGCACAATCAATCAACTCGTTAGTAAGTTTGGACAACATCGATCTCTTCATACTGTACAAGTGTTAACAAAATCCTTAATTTCTTTGCCCTCGCTATTGCAAACCACACCTGCATTTTTCAACTACCTTTACTGTGTACTTATCTAGAAAATGCTCAACCTATTTCATTCTCATACAGCCTAGCACTTGGCAACATATAATCTCATAAAATTCATACCATTTGCAACTGCAATATGCTTGATTGACACATTTATCATGCACAATCCCCTTAACTACTAAAACCCCACCTTTACCAATTCCAGAAAACAAAGAAGACTTTTCCATTCCTCCACCTGAACCTTGTGAAGTATTGGACAAGTGTACATACCTGAAAACATAAAATGTTGAATAATACTTAATACATTGTTTGTTGTCATTTAGATTAACAATTGATCTTGCAAAATAGGTTTCAAAAAAATAATTCATGAGTTTGAAGCCAATACACATGAAATTGCAGAGTTGACAAATATCAGATGACACCAATCAAAGAGAAATAAGAGCTTAGAAAACATAAAAGACTATTCAAGTATTGCACACATACCCGCCATTTGAGTTTCCACTGACGTGCAGAGTGAAGGTTGAGGTTTTTCGTACTAATCAACTTGATCAACAACCACCTCATTATGTCGCTCCTAGGCAAGTGCCTCATCAAAACGTGTTATGTATTTCACTAATGTATTTCGTCACTATACTATTTTGGTTATTTTTGGTTCTGGATAACATAGCACCCTTGTATCTCTTGTGATGACTAAAATTTTCGATCGAGCCCTTCTTTATAGCACACATATGCTTTCCACAAAATCTCCCTTGTGTAAGTTGATTTTCTACTTGAATTTATCCGAGTGGCAAAACTAGCTTTACTTGCATACATATTATACAAATTGTATACATTGTCCAGAGTATCAAACTCAACCCCCAATTTTGGTTCAAACTTGACACTTACTCCCAGTACCACACACATGCCATCCCTGAGTACTTGATCACTGTCTCCTCAAGGACTTTCAACAAGGTTTTCCACCTTTATGTTATCCTCCATTTTATGAAATATTGCAATAAACCCTAAGTATCGCATGATTTCGAGAACCCATTACTACCATACTAATATAGTAGCATATATTTGCAAACTGTATTCACTTAGATGTGAATAAAAATAATTATACTTAATGTAGCAATTACCCATTCACTCACCCAATGCCAAAACCTAATCAATAGAAATGAGCTTTTTCGTAACTAATGAGATACCTAACTTCATGGTATCATACTAATATATTAGCACATACTTACCTAATTGTTCTAGGGTCTTCTTACCAACTTTTTGGTTGAATTTTGATGTTGATGAGGTGGATCTCCATCAAATCTCCTTATTGAGTGGAACTTTTGATTTTGGGGATCTACTATCAATTGGTGTGTTGAGTTCAGGGGTGTTTGGGAGACGTCGTGACCATGTGTCCTGGTGGAAGTTTAGTGGGATTTTCTTTTCCACTTGTAGGTGTTTCCTATCCTCAAGTCCCAAATCGGTAGAAAGTTATCATCACTCATATAGTCTTCTTACAGCACCGGATGCAGTGGCTTTATGGATCCTCTTATGTTTTCAGTTCCCGATGAGTTGGGTTTTCAAGATGTAAAATTGTTTGCTCATTGTCTTGCAATAGTGTGGTTATTATTTGCAAGAGCCTTCTATGGGGCTGTATTTGTAATGCCCATTTATTAATGAAATGCGGCTATAAAAAAATAAAAAGTGCTTGACATGTTGGTGATTGATGAGTTACATGTTACGTTATGTGACTTCCTCAATGTGTTTTTATGTCACCAAAGTTTTTGATGTCTACATGAAAAAGCACTTGTGAAAAAATTCAATTTCATTGGGTTGGGAAAACAAATTGGCTACATTTTGTTTAATTAGAGATTTAATTGGCAAACCAATGTGTAAAAAATAAAATAAAATAATTTTTTTAAAAAAAGAAAAAAGAAAAAAGGAGCAACAAGCATTCTAAATTGACTAGACATACATTATGGTGCATTCATAACTTGATGTAAAAGTTTCACACAACCGACACACATGTTCATATTGGGAAATTATGGTGAGGCAAATATGTTGGGACACATTTTTATTATTGAACATAAGATTGAAAACATGAAATACATGGCCAAGCCTTCAACTTTTTAATTATTATTTTTAGTTTTAGGCAACAAAGTAAATAATGTTAAATGGACATTTAATGATGTTTGTGCATGGACCCACGTGTAGTGGTTTATGTAGGGTTTGAACATAAGTTCCATTTGTTGTTCAAAAAACACAATTTATAAAATTATTTTATGCTAGTTTGGGGCTTGAAAGTTAAACTAGGGGTACAAGATCCAATTTAATCCGCCTAAATTGATCGATCAAATCCAATTCAATCCAACTTTAATCGGTTTCGATGATTTGGCGGATTGGATTCCCTAATTTCCAAAATGACATGATTGGATCGGGTGTTGGATTTGCTTGTGAGGATCCAATCGAATCTAGTTAGTTTCATGGGTATTTTGCTCATTAGGTAATTTTCATTAAGAAAGTTATAAACATTTTAAGTAATTTGATGAAGTTATGTTTAATATAATATAAAATTAAAGTAATTTTCTCTAACATTTCATTTATATTTTACATTTATGTATATTAAAATGTTTGATTGTATTAAACTTGATGATAAATGTTTTATGTTTCATTATTATCTTTTTTCATTATGGAAATTGATCATCGAATCCAATCCAATCCAATATCAATTTGATCGGATCAGATCAAATTTAAACCTCTAATGTGATAACATTCATAGTACTGATAAGAAGAATAAGAAGAAGAAGAAAGGAAATTTCAAAGAGAATTGTATTTCTTGAATCGTTCTGTTAATCAGTTTCTACAGAGAGATTGCATTATATACTTGGCCTTAGCTTTGCTTAGCTTCTAAATAACACAGTAACAACTTAACTAACAGCATGTGACACCATAACTAATCTAGTGCTGACTCAGCTTAGCTGTTATACAAATGGTTTATACAATTACCCTCCCTCAAGCTCAGCTGATTCCTCAATATGAGATTGGTACAATGCTTAAGAAATATGGGGTTTTGCAATCCTTTTGTAAAAACATCTGCAAGTTGTTCTTCTGTTGGCACATACTGAACTTCAAGATCTTTGCATTGAACTCTTTCTCGCACGAAGTGAAAATCAATATCCATATGTTTGATACGTGAATGAAACACTAGATTGGAGATAAGAGCCAATGCAAATAGATTGTCACAGTACAAGATAGGAGGTGTAGGAAGACACATAAGTAAATCTGCAAGCATTTGATGAATCCATGCTAAATCTGCCGCAGTATGAGCCAATGCAAAATATTCTGCCTCAGTGGAGCTGCGAGACACAGATCCTTACCTTTTAGACTGCCATGAAATTGGATTTGCACCAAGGAAAACAACACAGCCTGTTGTAGATCTTTTGGTAGAAGGGTCTGTAGCCCAGTCAGAATCACTATATGCAGACAAGTGCCAAGGACCAGGACCAAAGTGAATACCATATGTAAGAGTACCCTGTATATACCTCAATATCCTTTGAACCATATGAAAATGAACTTCAGTTGGATTGGTCATGTACTGGAAGACTGTGTTTACTGAATACGCTATATCTGGTTTGGTAAAAGTTAAATATTGTAAAGCTCCAACAATGCTTCTATATAGAGTAGGATCCTTCAAAGGTTCACCACTAGTCGACAACACCTGAGTATGAGGCTTACAAGGTGTTGGACAAGGTTTACTTGTAGTCATACCAGCCTTATGCAATAGATCCCGTATGTACTTGGTCTGATTGACAAAGATTGCACTAGGTGTAGGATATGACACTTGCAGACCTAGAAAGTAAGTCAATTTACCCATGTCTTTCATATCAAACACGGATCCAAGATCACCAATAACTTCTTGAATGAGTTGCTCATTAGAACCAATAATTATTATATTGTCCACATATAAAAGTAACACAACTAGATCATATTATGTGGACTTCACGAACAAGCTAGGATCAGAATGAGAGGCCTTGAATCCTAGAGCTGGGAGATACCTTGTAAACTTTGATTTCCACGCCCTTGGTGCTTGTTTCGAGCCATATAGTGACTTATGCAATTTACACACATAGTGAGGATGTATAGGATCTTCAAATCCTTGTGGCTGCCTCATGTACACTTCCTCTTCCAACTCTCCATGCAAAAATGCATTTTTAACATCTAATTGTCGAAGATCCCAACCTTTCATAGCAGCCATGCTCAAAACAATCCTGACAGTAGTGTGCCTAACTACTGGACTGAATGTTTCAGTATAGTGAAAACCTGCTTCCTGGCTAAACCCATGTGCGGCAAGCCTAGCCTTATACCTTGATACTGTGCCATCAGCATTCCGCTTGATCTTATAAATCCATTTACTGCCAACTATGTTGGTGTTAGGAGGTGGAAGAACTAAACACCATGTCCCTTGCATCTGTAAAGCCTTAATTTCTTCAGTCATAGCCTTAATCCAATCAGGGCTAGAGGAAGCAACCTATAACTATTTGGTTCATCCAATGCTGTGTGAAAACACGAACTAAAACATTGATAATCAGAGAAATCCTTTTTCTAAAAAATACCAGACTTTGCTCGAGTTTGCATACTATGTGTATTATGAGGAATAGACATAGTAGTAGAAGAAAGAGATGCAGTTGTAGCTACGAGCTGTGAACCAGTATCAACATCAGAAGATGACCCAAGAGGGAATGACATCACTTGAAGTTTGGAAGCTAAAGAAGCCAGAAAATGATCAGAAGATTGTAATGCAAAATCTGAAGCGCGTAATTCTGAACTAACATCATCAAGAGGCACATTAGGATGTTGAGAAGGAAAGGAGGAAGAAGATAATGTTGGTTCTGCAGTGAGAGGCAAAGGAGATACTAGAATAGGAATAGAACTAGGAGATGTGGATACTGGAACAGGCTGAGATTGAGGCTTTGCACACTCTGGAAGTTTGAATGTATAAGTATTCTCATCATGAATTACATGTCTGGAGATGATACATGTTGAGTCTATTCCTAACAACTAAAATGAGTTATTAAAAACAGCAACTTTAATTCTCGCAAGTGCACGAACCGTTTATAGTATAGCTTATGTAAATACGAGGTCGATCCCACGGAGAATGGTAACTTGGTTCCAAGTTAAATTACTTAGAATGCTAGAAAAACATAGAACAAGGAAACTGACTAACTAGCTAAAGGCAAGGTCGAATTCAACAATGCCTCTTGCTAATTACTCAAGGTCTAGGACAGAATCCTAGCACCACACACGCACTCGAAATTGGGGGGGGGGGGTTTGTTGTTGAAATGAAAATAAGAAAGTGAAATGAAAGTGCTTGAAAGTGAACACTGGACAGATTGTGAAACAATAATTGAGAGGTGTTATAGCATTGGAATTCAATACTAGTTTTCCTATCCAAGTTGTGAATGCATAGAAATTGACTCAAGCTTCATCAACAATAGATTATCGCATACAAGCCTATGGTATCTAGGTGCAGGATGCATGATTCTCCTAAGGCATGTAATTGTGCATGGTATCTACACAACACGTGATCTCTAATATGCAACCTAAGCATGGTATCTACTTAGAATAAAGCATACAAGAATCATTAAGCTCCATGAGAATATGATAATCACACAAGTCCTAGAACATGGTATCTGTCCTAGTCAACCTATGGTTATTAACCCCTTGAATGATTCTTAGGCCATTCATATGTTGTTTGTAAAAGGAGAGTAGAATTTGTGAATCTAAACCCCTTCCCAACCTGTGCTAGATGCATAAAATCCTAGTTAGCTACTCCAAGAAAACATATATCAAGCACATAATAAATTAGAGATTAACAACTTGATAATGAAAGCAAGGAAATCAATTAACTATAAAATCATCCATAACATTGAATATTCATGACTAGGGCTTCATCCTAAGCCCTAACTAAATGGATTAGTTAAACATAACTATGAATATAGAAAATAAGAAATACATAGATAAAATAAAAGAGAAGAGAAGAACTAGCTGGCAGCAATGTAGTTCCCAAGACAGCTCCAAGCTCTCTTCTCTCTTTGTGGTGAAGCTGAATGTGTGTATGAGAGTAATGGATGAAGTGAAAATGTGTATCTGACTCTCCCTATCTCCTTCTTGAATGAGTGTACAGCTCTCTATTTATAGAGTGCAATTTCATCCTCCCCTTTGGCTAGTAAAGCACACCTCACTTAGCTGCTCCCAGCTGCTCCCAACTACTCCAGCTGCCCATACATGCCAACTGCTCCAGCTGCCCATACTTGCCAACTGCTCCAGTTGCCAAGTACATGCTTTGTTATGGTTTCTTTATGGAAAGCTTGACTTTTGTTCATCCTTTTGAGTTCCTGAGCTGATTTGACTCCCATGTATGGCTGCCCATGTGTAGCACATGGCTCTAGGGATGTAGCCACATTAAATGTGATGGCAGCAAACATGACATTTCTGTGAACTTGGTTCAGTCTTTCATGTGCTGAGGGCTCCAGATTATCCAGTTGGGCTGAAATTTGGATATGTTACAATAGACACCCATTGGAACAACTTCCATCAAAGATGTCTCCTCATCCGACCTGTGTAAGTTGCTGAAATGAGGCCTGCAAGATGACCTACAAAACTGAACTGACAAGGAGTGTGGCCCAAATTGGGTTTGTCTTTAAGCTCATATTCCTATTATCCCAATCAGCCCTTAACAAGCATGGATTGCATCAAATGTGATCTCTTGCTGTCTTAACCTATAAAACAAACAAAAAGAGGTAAGTGACTCAAAATAAAGAAAAACTAAACAAAATTACTAAGCAAAGAAGGGATGCAAATGTGTGAAATTATGACCTTGTCAATACACTTGTCTTGCAATTTATCATAACATAAAACCCCCTTATAACCAGCAGCATATCCAACAAAAACACATTGTGTGGTCCTAGGTTGTAGCTTATGACAATTATAGGGTTTGAGATAAGCAGTACCAAAGACTTTAAGGTGCTTAATATCAAGCTCATGATGAAATAACCGATAATAAGGAGATTGATGCTCCAACACCACATTGGGCATACAATTAATCAAGAATGCAGCATGAAACCAAAACTGAGTTGGTAAAGCAACATCATTCATCAAAGTAAGAGAAGTTTCTACCAAATGCCTATGTTTCCACTTAGCAAGTCCATTCTGCTAAAGGGTGTAAGGACAAGACAGCTGATGAACAATCCCTTTAGAAGACAAAAACTCAATGAATGCTTTGCTAACATACTCACCCCCACCATTACTCTGAAAGAACTTAATGGAAGCAGAAAAATGGTTGGAAAACAAACTTGTCAAAAACCTTATATTTATTATGTAAGGGATACAACCATACAAAACCAATGCATTCATCTATGAATGACACATAATACCGATAGCCATCCAAGGATTTAAATGATGATGGCCCCCAAACATCACTGTGAATTCTATGAAAAGTAACAGTAGACTTGCTATGAAAATGAGAAAATGGTAATTGATGCATCTTCCCACTCAAACAATGAGGACATATGAAAGACTGACTATTATCACAAACTGAAATGTGAGATTTATTTAGCATTTGCTTAACTACAATATTAGTAGGATGACCTAACCGAGCATGCCACAATGAAGATTTGACAAGTTGTCCAAGATAAGCTTTTGCCTCTATGTTTTTATGCTGAAGTGCTAAAGAGCTGGGACAACAATATAGGACTCAATCACTCTTGCCTGTGAGAAGAACTTGCTTGCTAATTCTGTCCTGTATTGAGAAACGAAATTGATCAAAAGCAATGAGACAATCACTGTCCTTACACAATTGATGCAGTGAAAGAAGATTAGCAGTTAGATGAGGAACATGAAAGACAATAGGCAATTTAAGAGCAGTAGTAGCACAGGGAATACTAGTAGTCCCAACATGATCAATTTTCATACCTGCACCATTGCCTAACATTGCCCTCATTAACACAAGGTGCAGTAGTTTCCAGCATATGCATATCAAAAACCATATGATGACTAGCACAACTGTCAGCAAACTATACTGTGTCTGGAGAAAACGAGGTCTAAGCTATCATAGCCGCCAAGGTAGGATGACAGGACCCAGGACAAATCCTGTGGAATTCCCGACATCACACCGATGTCGGGCCCACTCACTAAAACTATAACCTCATTTTCCAAAAAGGAATAAAGGCACGAGACTTTCTACCAAAATTTCACAGAGTCTCCCCTGTAATTTGAACATTTCCTAACATTTTCAACCTGCATAAAACACATTTGATATCACCAACCGGCAGCATGCATAAGATAATTCTATGCAATTCACATAATCGGCCTTCGGCTTTCAAATACTCCGAACAACCTACTAAAAAAACTCTTAAGTCAAAAATAGTACCTTAACTAATGCAAATAACAAGCTCAAACATAATTATTAATGCCAAATGCAATTTTCATCATCTAACTTCCCAAATATCCAACATACTAGGCTCTAACCTCCTAACACGACTACATCTCATTTTCACCCAAATTTCAGGACCAATGACAAGGTCCGAACCAATCTCAATAAAACAACATGAGTAAAGTTTAGCCCGTGGCTGCACCTAGGCACTACCCTAGGCTGCCTACGTACCCTTACTAAGGGATCAAGCCACACATAGTTCTTTCCACAAAAATCCCGATTCCAACAACATACAATCCATTACAGCAATACAAAAAGATAGACTCTAGAATTTATCCATTTCCCTTTTCTTTAAATCATAACCTACCAAACCTAATCTTTTTCAAACCTCTATCCTTAATTCATCTCCCTAATAATCACATAATCTCCCCATATGCCGAAAT